TACCATATTTTTCAGAGTATAAAACGCACCCTTCCCCCCCTAAAAGAGGGTGAAAATTTGGGTGCATCTTAGACACTGAATGTAGCCCCATCAACCCACCAGCCTCAACCCTTTGGCCTCTGCCTCCCAGCAATTTGCTACGTGGAGCAAACAGCAAATTTCACTGCAATAAGCTATACATTACTATAGCTTATTGCAGCTTCCTCAACCCTCCTTTGCTGCAAGGAGGTAAATTGCTGGGAGGCAGAGGCCAAAGGGTTGAGGCTGGTGGGTTGATGGGGCTACATTCAGTGTCTAAGATGCACCCAAATTTTCACCCTCTTTTAGGGGGGGAAGGGTGCGTTTTATACTCTGAAAAATATGGTATTTTTCTCTTTGGGCACAAAGAGATGTTATCTGCTGCGAACTCTGCATTGGTGATAGGAAGGGCATCCGGCCAGTACACACTCAGTTCCATTCAGTTGCCCCAACGCAAGGGATTACAGGGTCATTAAAATACACACACACACACACACACACACAATAGGCCATATCAAAGCGCAGAGTTCTAAACCCAAATTATTACTGAAATCCTATAAAAACAATTTAAAATGAAATTGGAATAAAATACAAAAATACCAAATGGGGTTTCACTGTAGTTTGCATAAGGATCACAAACATTGATGGGGTAATCCAGCAGCAAGAGGCTCGGTTCCTGCACCCCATCGGAGAAAGGCAGCCGTGCCAAGGAAGGTTATGAAACCCAGCACACTTCAAGGCGACAGGCGTCTAATGAACTGGAGCTGGGGTGGGGCAGTAGTTAGAATGCAGGACCGCAGGCTAATTATGCTGACTGCCAGCAGTTCAATCCTGACCAAGCTCAAGGTTGACTCAGCATCCCATCCTTCCAAAGTTTGTAAAACGACCCAGATTGTTGAGGGCAATATGCTGGTTCTGTAAACTGCTTAGAGAGAACTGTAAAGCATTGTGAAGAGATGTATAAATTTAAGTGCTACTGCTAGAGGATCTACTAATTCCGAACAACACTGTCAAACTATTTAGTAAGGCTGTATTACTATTATTCTTCTCATCTTTCCTATTACCTATCTCCTTTTCTTCTTATGACTAAAACTTGGTTGCTTGTATCTTTATGGTTTAGTTTTATTTAGTTTCCTAGCATGATTTATGTTGATTGCTTTTTTAGTATGCTATGACTATCACTAAGTATTGTATCTTATGATTTATGATGAATGTATTTTTATGATGACTATGGTCATGATTTATCACTTATAGCTTTTATGTACACTGAGAGCCTATGCACCAAAGACAAATTCCTTGTGTATCCAATCATACTTTGCCAATAAAGAACTCAATGCAATGCTACCCTACCCTACTCGATTGTGTTCTACCCTAACTGTGCCGTACCTCCTCTAAACTACCTCAAATGTAAGAGAGAAACCTCAATTGGTGCAACATTTCTTGAGCCCTTTTACAGGCAAGAAAGGCCAGCAAGAATTCAGGGAACCCCCATTCACACATTCAGAGAGCCTTTCATGCCTTTGACCCACCAGCAGAAGACCTTCTGGAGTGACTTGCCTTAGACTTGGCGGCCTTCACCAGGATGTCGTAATTGGAGGGTGGGGGAGCCGGATGCTTCCTCAGCAAGGCGTGCTCTGAAAATTCCTGGTTGATCTTTTGGGCAACGGAGATGTTAGCCAGCAGCATAAACTCTTCCACCATGGAGTTGGTCTCTCTGCAGAAAGGAAAAGTGGCTCGTAAGACTCCAAGGAAACAGCCAGCCTGATGCGTTTGTTTCCCCCAAGGCAGGGGTTGGCAACCTTAAACCCTCAAAGAGCCATTTGGACCCGTTTTCCACGGAAAAGAAAACACCGGGAGCCACAAAACTCTTCCCGTGCCTGACTATTTCCTGAGCGGCCCCAAAACTAGCATATATAGTTGAATTAAACTTTCTGTTAACTCCTGAAACTTTTCTTTTCTTGGATTTATCCATAGTTGGCCTACCAGTGGTTAAAAAGCTCCAAAAATCACGTGCCGGTATCACACACTGGCGGTTGTGACGCATATTTTGAGTGACAGGGAGACGCAGCAGAGGGATGAAAGAGCCACATGCGGCTCCAGAGCCGCAGGTTGCTGACCCATGCTCTAAGGGACAGGAACTAAGGGGAGGAACACCGTGGCCCTGTAACTGGACACCACTTCTTTTATGCACTATGGGACAAAACAAACGAGTAAGAGCTACCGAGCTCCAATCAGTGGCACTAATTCCTCCTTTCTCAGAACCTCAGTGGCTCAAGGCCATGCCAATCTCAGGATGCCACCCATACGCATCTGGGCCTTATCCAGCCCCCGTGTGAAGCACCCTCCCATGGTTGTAATTGTTTAGGAATGCATCCGGTTTGGGAAAGACAACACTTAGAAAGCTGCTTGTTCTGTTCAAATTCTTGACCCTCCAAAACTTTTCAGATTGTCCTGTTCATCGGCAGGGCAGGAAAACAGCAATACACAGTTAACACACGGATGCAGTTTAGCAGCTTCATTGAGGCTCCCATTTAAAGCTTGTCCAGCCAACTTAGGTCTTATCTCAACTGTCTTATGTCTAAGTATATCCACCCATGTTGTATGGCTGTAGTATTATTATTATCCTTCTCATCTTCTCTACTACCCTCTCTTACTGGTATTATTATGATTCTGTTGCTTTGCAAGTACACCAAAAGCTTCTGCATCGGAGACACATTCTTTGTGTGTCTAATCACACTTGGCCAAATAAACTCCACTCCACTCTCCTCCCCTGTACTCTCTTCTCCTCCTCTCCTCTCCCCTACCCTACTATTCCCTACCATTCCATTCTATTCTAAACTTGGGGCTGCCTCCAATGATGTTGATACCAGAACACTACCAGGGTTACTGTTGTGGCCCAGCAGGAGCCGTTGGATCTGCAAACAGACTCCGACAGCGAGGGGCCTTATGAGTCGGCTCTGGAAGATATGGAGGACCCTGGACAGGGTTGCGACTCCGAGCAGGGATCAGAGAGGATGGTTGGCCACCAGGAGACGCCTGAGGCATGGAGCAGCGGTGAAAGCCAAAGGGAGTGTGCTCCTGATGTCAGGCCTTGGAGCAGTGGAGAGGAGACAAGGGAGTTGGTCCTGGACGCCCGGCAATGGCGGGCAGATCGACGTAGAGAACAACTACGCAGGTACAGAAGATAATTGGACCCAGGTGGTTGTAATTAGGCTCCTCTCAAGATAGTATTTAAGGAGAGGCTTTGGGAGGAGTCTGGTTGCAGGATTCAACGTAATTATCAACGCTGGAGAAGCTGTTATCTGTATCTGTCGGAGTCTGGGTTGCTGCCAAGGTTCTTTATCTGTTTGTTCGCGTTTGGGCTTCCAGCCACCAAGATTTATGTTTCCTGCTAATAAAGTGTTGTGGCATTCCAGCTAAGCTTAAGCTTGTCCCGGCATTTGTTACTGGACGGAGGAGGGGGTC